ATCTTGAATTACCACTGAATGTTCACAATAATTTCAAAACATAGTCTGACCCAGTACAATGTAAAGAAATTAAAACTAATCACAGTATAGTGTTAAATGCTAATCAAAGATTCCAACAACTACAACCAATCTCAATACAAATATAAACCATCACAGCCCATTCAAACATTATAAAATTCATTATAAGACCTAGAAATCACAATTATAATGAAAGAAGTAAAGATTAGAAGAGCTGAAACTCCCTTTTGAAGCTCTTAGTTCAAGCCATAATCATTGCTCTAGAGAATTGGAAGGATTTAGCTAAGTCCTTGTATCACTGAAGCTCCACCGTATGCTTCAATAATCACAACCATAGCAGAACAACAATGAAGGAGCCAATGGAAGATGAAAGCTGGAGGTATCATTTCGCCGTTCAAGCTCTTTGTTCTGTTCGCTAATCTGGTTCACGTCTCCTCACTCTGTTGGCTGTCTCTCATCCAGCGCCGTCAAGATGAAGAAGATGATGACCCGAATATTGCCTCCACCGTTTGCTTCACTGCTCGCGTCGTCTCCTCACTCTGTTCACGTGAGTCCCAGGTCCTTGTGTGTGCGTCCTCTAGTTCAAGAATGAAGATGAATAATGCCGTCACTCTGCTTCTTGCGTCGTCGAGCTCTGGACCTCACTCAGCTCCCTCGCCTCTCTCTCGCGTCTGCCGTCAGCTCCTTGTTTTTGTCTCTCTGTTTTCTTTCCTTCTGCCGCCGTCAAGACTCTGTTCTGTTCTCTCTCGCTATCTTCTCTCTGCCACCAGTGAGAAGACGCAGAGAAGATGAATGGTGAATGAAGAGAACACCGTCGAGCTGTTCGTTTTCTCCCTCTGATTCGCTGTCTGCTCGTGTGCGTCTCAGTTCACGCCACTGTCCTCTGTTCCTTTGTGCTGCTGGTTCGCCCCCTGCTGTCGCGAAATCCCTGCCACCAGGGAGGTTCAACTGAGAAGATGATGAATGGTCCTCGTCTCGCCGCCAACTCTGCCTCTCCCGTCACTCGTCCTTCTTTCTTTTCTTTATCTTTTTCCACGCCGTCGGCTCGCGTGCTGCTCTCCATTGAAGATGATGAATAGTTTTAATTTTTTTTTTTTGGTACAGAAGAGGGCTAAGCCCAACAAGAAAAAAATTAAAACTCAGGGGAATCAGATCCCATACAATCATCCAAAAGCAAATCTTGTAATCTCGCTGGACAAGCATCCAACACAGATGAGCGTGCCAGACCTTCCTTCGCTAAAGCATCGGCTAACTTGTTTTGTGCTCGAGGTATATTAAGTATGTCCACTTCCCATGAATACTTCAAAAGCTTCAGGATTTGTACGACCACTAAGCCTGCACCCTTGTGTGCGTCTTTTCGGGTTAGTAAATTCACCAGGTTCCTTGAGTCAGATTCCAGGATAATTTTCCTAAATCCAAGATCCCAAGCCAAAGAGAGCCCTTTTAACATTGCCCATTCCTCTGCTTCCTTGGCGCTACAAACACCAATGAAATGAGTTAAACCACCAACCCATTTTCCAGAACTGTCCCTTATAACTCCTCCACACCCAGACCTCTTACTCGCTGAACTTGTGGCACCATCAACGTTCAGCTTAACCCAACCTACAGGTGGTTTCTGCCAAGCTACATAAACAGACTCTGAAGTGGGACTTAGAAGTACTTGGTCATGCACCTGTGTAAAGTTCCTCCACGTTTGCAAGAGGATAGATGCAGGGCCCACTGGTTTGATAAACCGATGAATAGTTTTAATTGATTATTAGGTTAGGGAGCAAAATGTGCGTTTTGCTCTCCCCCCTTTTTTTTATAATTATTTTCTCTTTTTTTTTATCTTTTTATTTTTAAAATCTCCAAAAACCTACAATCAAAATTTAAAAATAAAGTAGCATTAATTGTCCTTAAAAATCAATTAATTATAATTAAACCAAAATATGACAATTTTGTCTCTAAAAATTAATAATTTAAAATAAAACATATTAAATCAATTAATAATCAATTAAGACCAAAAGGACCAATTAAGTTGACAAAACTCATATAAAAGATATCAAAATATATAAAAATAATTGAGTTTGTCATAATCCAAACAACTCTACTTTCATAAGTTGACTTATTTATAAAAATCAATCCATACACAAATCATATTACTCAATCTAACTTTCATCCAATTAATTGAAAATAAGCTACTTTTTTATCGTTAATCCAAATGGACTTAATATCAATCTACAGATTCGATTATTTTTAGAAGTTACCAAAAATAGATTTTCAAATTATAATTAGAAATATGTTTTTGAGAAACTCTTCATGAAGCACGCCTATCCACTTAGCTTCTGCAGAAGGCCAACGTTGTCCAAATTACCATTATAATCAGCATTATATATTGCTTCACAGCAAAATTCCAAACAAGTTATTTCTATATATTTGCATGTATCCAACAATTGTAGCCTTCAAAATCATATCTCCCATTCTTTATATCTACGTATATATATTCTCTGAAATGGCTATAATTCTAGGGGACAATTTTGCTCAATTGATAACTCATTATTTTGAATATCTTGAAAGAATATTTTAGGTGATTTTTGAGGAGTTATTAATAGGATTTTGGATGATTTAAAAGAGTTTTGAATATAAATTAATTGTGAGTATTATTTGGGGGATTTTCTTGTAAATAGCTTGGTCTTAAATAAATAAAAGTAGCTATAGATTTATCTTATGTCAGTTTTAATTTTTATTTTATTTCCCTTTTTTAATATTATATTTTCTTTTAATTTTTTCTTCTCCATTTATTTTATCTTCACTTCTCCTCCCCTTTTATTATTGCCGAACAGAGAGAGGAAGTTTTTGAAGCTGCTGAATCAAGACACAAAACGGCACCGTTGGCACGTGGGAGGAGTGGAACGCACCGTTTGGAGGATCGAGGAGGGTTCTATTTTGAAGGGGATTATCGTCCATCGTCTGGAGGAGGCCGCCGAAACTGAAAGAAAGGAAAATCACGATCATCATCTTGGAGGGCCGCCGAAAGGGGTTTTTTGGAGCTGTGAGGTTGCTCTGAGAGGCGCCGACGCTGGTGAGAACCAGAGGGGGAGCCGAGATTTCATCATCGTCTTGAGCAGAGGAGCGCTGAACAGGGTTGAAGGTCGGTCGACACTGTTCATCATCTTCCTCCATTGAATCGTAGACGCCGAGACTGGTTCGAAGCAGGAAAGTGGCGACAGCAATGATCTTGAGAGAACGAGTTCAAGGGACGGCAGTGAGGAGAGGAGACCATTAGCAGTGTTCTGTTTTCTTCCCTTGTTCCTATTTTGTATTCTGATGGGAGTCTGATCTGAATCTTGTTGCTGAAACTGATTATATCATGTGTAGCTAAATTTCTTTTTACAGTCTAGAGGAACCATGAACTTGTTAGTAGACTGATTTTAATTTTACTGAATTGAGGATGCTTAACGGTAAATTTTGGTTATTTAATCTTTTGCTTTATTATCGGCCATCATTAATTGTAAATTTGAGAATTAAAGTTTTCTTTGACAAAGAAGATTTTAATTGGGCTCTTAGATTAAGTAATATGAAATTGGATGACAATCTAATTTGTGATTAGGATAAAAATATACCTAATTATCTCATATAATTGTTAATAAGTGAGACTGAATTGTTTAGCCTTTTCGTTAATTGTGTGAGATATTATATGATTAATTTAAGAGAGGGTTATAAGTAGACCAATAGATACTTGTAGCTAATTGAACTCTAAATTAACAAAATTGACATTAAAACTAACTAATTCAGTGAATTAAGATTCAAGAAGCTAGCAAGAGATTGATAACTCTAAGTTGTTCTTTTTAATATTTGTCTAGTTAATTTGAGAAAATTTTGTTTTATTTATTTTAATTTCTTTTCATTTGATTTTATTAAATCTTAATTTTTTCAACTTAAACGAAACAAAAATTTTTATTGCCTAATCACTATTAATTGAATTCTTTGTGAGATCGACTTTGATTTGTTACTGTTTATTTTTACAACCTTAACACTTGTAATGTATCTTAATATTGGGTAGCATCATCAGTGTTTGTGGGAATCGAACACTTGTGGAAGCAAATAAACAAATAAACAAAAGGATGACTCTTGTTGTCACATCAATTATAACTGGAAGTTGCAGGCGCTAGCCAATTTGTATTTGAGGAGACCAGCCGGCTGACTACTTTCTGGCAAAATCAGATTTTCAACCTTCCACATTAGGCTTATCGATCCTAACCATTTTCCTAACCGATTTGCCGCCTGCTTTTTTCTCCAAGGCATTCTTCCATAGCGCATTGGAAACATCAGAAAATATCATTTTTAAATATTTAAGACTAATTAAAATATGTTATAGCATCTGCACATAGTATGTGTCGAAGCAGAAAATAATCCCATTCGAGGAGTGCAACCAATCACGGAACCTGTTCTGAGGACGATTATTAATTAATATTATTAGTATAAGCATGAAAATAATCAAAATCTAGCCATTTAAAAGCCTATGTACTAATTTATATCAATACGTGTATGTATGATGTAATAATAAGTGAAAAACTTCACCATTTTTAATATGCTTCCCCTCTTCTACCAAGTTTTTTTTTTTTTTTTGGTTAAAAAACAAAACAAAGGTTGGATTGGTCAGAATCGGCCTAAAGAAATACTGCCCCAGGGCCAGGTGTGATTTGGAGTAAACGGTTAGTTGGGTGACGAGAATATTATTAGTGTAATGATAACATTTGCAGGTGAAAATTTGGAAAACGATATATTCAAATAGGATTGTCGATAAAGTATTGTTCATATCGTGTGATGTTGCCTTCACAGATTGAGTTGTGGACGTTGGTTTCACATAATTCGACAGAAACTTGAACATTAAGTAATCATAAGCAACACACTTTTGACAGATTCTTTCAAAATGATGTGTATATATAATGAAGAATACATACAACTTTCTTATTCACGCAAGAGAGGCTATAATAATCAAAATGGGGACTTCCCATGGTGAAGAGGACAGATTGAGCGTTCTTTATGAAGCATCACGCAAAGGATCTGTATCAACTTTGAACTCACTTTTACCAAAAGAACCATTAATCCTCCACAAGATCTCACAAAGTGGCTTCACCGAAACTCCTTTACATATATCAGCCTTGCTTGGCCACCTTGAATTTACCAAGGCACTTGTCACATACAAACCCAGACTAGCCATTGAGGTTGACTCTTCCCAGAACACACCCCTCCACTTGGCTTCTGCAGAAGGTCATACCGAAATCGTGAAGGAACTTCTTAAAGTTAATGACAAGCCATGCTCGTTTCCTAATGAAGAGGGCAAAATTCCTTTGCATTATGCAGTTATGAGAGGGAGATTAGACGTTGTGAAAGAGTTGGTGAACGCGAAGCCTGAGTCTCTGAGCTTTCTTGATAATGGAAACACTGTTTTTCACTTGTGTGTGATACACAATCATTTGGAGACTCTCGAGTGTTTGGTGGAATTGGAAGTTGCCATTTCTGGGAAGCTTCTTAACTTCGCGATTTCTGATGTAGTGGGCAACACCGTTTTCCATTTAGCTGTCGCATCCAAGCAAGTTGAGGTGTGATATCCTCCCTGATATAACGAGTTTTCTTTTTACATGAACGGGTTATATTTTTTGTGAATTGTTGGGTCTAATTTTTTTTTTTAACCCCAAACTCATATGTGACACTTCCCACAATATACTAACATGCAAGTTTAATATTTCAGACTATAAGGTACCTCCTATCAATCCCATATGTAATAGAAATGGCAAGCTTGAAGAACGATATGGGTCTTACAGCCTATGACATCCTCAAACGTAATCCAAAAGATTTCAAAACCCTAGAAATACAAGTCATGCTGACGGACTATTCTGGAATTAGAGCTGAGAAGAACGGAATCCACACGCATTCACACTCATCATCACCAGTTGCAAGACCAAAACCTCAAACTCGAAAGAAGAAGAGAAACTGCTTCATAAAGATTTTGAAATGGATTGGAGGTTGGTTCAAACACAAGGGTGACTGGGTAGAAGAAATGAGGGGAAATCTGAGTTTAGTGTCTACTGTTATAGCCACCATAACATTTCAATCATTGATAAACCCACCTGGTGGCTTCATCCAACAAGGTTTATCTCAAGGCTCATCCAATATTGAAGCCCTAAAGTGCACTATCCTTCCTAACAACGTGTCCTATTGTCCTGGGCAAGCTGTCTCATCTTTTAGTTTCCAAGATATGTTTTTGGAGTATGTAATTTTCAACACTATCTCTTTCATTTCATCGCTTAGGGTCACCCTCTTGCTTGTGAGTGGAGTTCTTATGAAATTAAATTAAATCCTAGTAAATAAATACAAGTAACCTAAACTATAAAAATGATTTTTGATTTAATAATTGCTAATTATACACCATGAATTAAATTGAAATTAAAATACTTTTTTTACTTTTATATAAAAATAATTAAAATGAATGAAGATTAAAGAAATGAAAATGAAACACTCAAATAACAATGATAATGATTAATCATCCAATTCAACAACGCAGACAATCCTCACTCCAAAAGATATGAGAGTTAAAACAATGAATTAAGAATTATAATTAAGCTTTTAATCTAACAACCAAGCCACCTTGAATTGTTACAAAATATTTTTCTAAAATCCCAACTTACTAACTTCAACTAGAATAGTAAAATAGAATTAAGGATGCTAAAAACCAATGCTTAATTAAAACTCTTAAATCCAAAATAACAGAATCAAAGCTAGCAAAAGATAATATGATCCAAGATTCCAAGCTACCTCAAAAAATCACAATATATTAACTCCAAAATCAATACAAATGTCATAACCACAACATTATAATTGAAACTAAAGCTATAAACAACCTAATGTCAAATACTAAACAGTAATCTAGCCACAATAATCTCCAAATATAATCAGATTAAATGATACAAATTTTTCAATAATTAGAATAACTATCCTAAGACCTAGTAATTGTTAAACAACTATTGGATAGGAAATTAAAGTAACTAAAACTCCCCTTTAATGATCCGAGCTCCTGCCATTGTTGTTGAATTAGAGAATTATGAAGCTCCAGCCACGCATAATTTCAGAATCTACTTCAATCAACTCCTTCATACCTTCGGCCATGGCAGTGAAGGGGACGGTGGTGATGATGATCTTGTGGAAAGGAAGAATTCCCGTCGAGCTCCCCTTTCCTCTTCACGCCCTCAGCCTCTGCTTCTCTCCCCCTGATTCTGCGTCACTGTCCATGCCTCTGGTTTGCTGGAGATATGATGAATAGTGCCGTCGCACATGTAGCCGCCAAGCGCCCCCCGCATCCTCTGCTCTGTTCACGCTATATTCTCCCAAGATGATAAAGTATGTTGTATTAGTGTATTAGGTTGGGGGGGGCATTGCGTCTTGCTCCCTCTTTTTATTATTATATATTTTTCTTTTATTTATTTATTTAATTTATTTAATTTATTTTTTTATTTTTATTTTTAAGCCTTCTAAAAACTTGCAATCAAAATTCAACAATAATGTAGCATTAATTGTCCTTAAAAATCAATTAATCACAATTATGACAATTTTACCCCATTATGCATTAATTCAAGCTAAAGCACTTTAATGTGAATCATACTCAAATGATGCAATTAAAGACCAATAATAATGATAAAAACCCACCAAAAATATATAAAAATGCATGTAAAAACATAGGTTTGTCAACTCCCCCATACTTAGCCTCTTGCACTCCTAAGCAAAATATCATTAAAGAAGAATCCAACAGAAACACTCAATATAAGCAAACATAAAAATGTGCAATCAACTCAAGCAACCTTTATTCCCAATCAATCAACAATCATAAAATACTTTAGTATCAATCAACAATCATAAAATACTTTAGTGCAAAGAAACTAACACAATAGAGGAAGAGAAATATAATAGAGCTCACATAGGGTACAAGTGTTTCACTCATCTCTTAAATGGGAAAAATTTCACTCAATCCACCTTGATTAGCACCTACCATAAGCTTGTAGAGATTCTAATATCTCCACCACTAACATACCTTAGACTTGTGATCAAGGGGACTTGAAGGGCTGTAATATTGGAAAGCAAGGCCAAATGAATGAGATGAACTAACAAGTGAAATGCATGAGTAGTATAGTATCAACTCAAAGTGAGCTAAAGTACAATCATGCAAGAACACCAAAGTGTGAATTTTAAACTTTTGAAATAGAAATCCTTGCTCTTCAAACTACCATGGAATGCCTTGTTTCAAATTTTATTCTTTTGTTGCAACTTATTTCTTTTTCTATAACTTTCTTTCTTTGGCTTTTTCAATACATTTTCTTCTCTTTATTGCCTTTTTCCATTTCTTTTTCTTCTTTTGTATTCTTTTTTTTTTTTTGTATTTGCGTCCAAGCCCAAGAAGGCAAATATATAGACTTTAATGATGTACTTTTCAAAATGAAAAGCTAAATGTAACTCATGCAAAACACTTGCTAAAAAGCAATGAGTGAAATGAAAGTGAAGGCTCAAAGGGTGAACAAAGGTTAGGAAGTAGCTTGTGTTTAGGTAAAGGGTTAAGAAATGAATGCCCCTATCATCCTCACAAATCTGGGTATTTATGCAGCTTTGAAAAAGAATCTAGACAAGTTTTAGAAGTTAACCAAAACTAGGTGAAAATCACACAAGATGAGAAAGAATACATGGCTCAAAAATCCTTCCATCAAGGCTTTCTCCAAGATGTTTCCTCCTTAAGGATCAAGCTATGAAACAAGGTTAATAACACTACACCAAAGACATTCTACTATACTAACTAACTAAGAACAAAATTTACTCAAATCAAATGCAATCAAACTCAGTCGTGCAACATTCACAAGGATTGTCCAAAAGGATTTTAAAAGAGATACCCAAGGATTACAAAAGTCAAAAGTCAGCAACAAAGAAAACAACAAATCGCCCATACAGCAGTGCAAAACACTGAGGCAAATAAAAATAGGAGGACATAGAAACCATCAGTAAAACTCCCAAGCAAGAATCACTCTCAAATCATGCGATGCGATTCAGAAATCAACCAATAAGGCAAATAAGAGAGCAATTATAGCAGCAATACTTAGGAAACAGGAGCAAATCCAAAGGAAATTTTTTTTTTAAAATAGCTCAACAACTCAACAACAATCCCTCCCCCATACTTGATCAATACATTGTCCTCAATGTAAGCTTAGACTAAAGATATGAACAATTGGAAGCTCAAAATGTGCAAGGACAAGGCAGGGAAAGTACTGCATACAACTAACAACAAACAATAAAACAAAACATAACCCACCTTTTACTACTGGCTATATCCCTCCCCCATACTTATCTCACAAAACAAGCAAGTAATTCAAAGGATACGAGTTAAGGAAGGAAAGGGACAACCTTTAGAACGAAATCTCTTCAAACTCTTGTAGGAGGAGTTCTCATCTCAGATGAGAAACATATATCTCTTTAGTGTGCTCACTTTTCCATTGACATTTCTTGGTGGTGAGGGTTCCTGCAAGAGAAACATTGAACTAGGAGCAGTATCTAGTCCAAAAAGAAAAACTTGGAGAGATCTAGAGTAGCATAAGTATATGTGAGTTGCAAAATCTTCCAAGTAAATATCACACCCAAGAAAGTCAATAGGATTCCTTTCTATAGGAATCAAATAATCAAGAATATTTTCAAAAATGTCTTGTGTATGCAAAGTGGAAGATGAAGAATCCAATTGACAGTTGTTGGAGTACATCACATCACTTTTACTAACACAAGAGGTGGGTGGAAAAAGAGTGGAAGAAGAAGAAGATTCATGTAGAATATGATTATGCAATGCAATATTATTATTTACATAGCTACTTAAATCACGAGGCAAGTCACAAGAAAGAATTAGATGAAAAGATTCATTTTTATTTACAATTTTGTCTTTCAAATTTTTTGAATCTTTCCCTACTAACACATTAGAAGCATGCAACTCAATGGGATTTTTAGAAAGATAATTTCCAAGGCTATGGTTAAATTTATATTTCTCCACAAGATCAACATCCAAGTAATTCATATCAATATCATGCTTTATATTGTTAGCACTTTTAGTACTAGAAAGCAATGCACACACTTTACCAAAGTTCTGCTTTTGCGACCCAACAAGTATATCATACTTGTTATTAATGCAATCCATGCATATAGTGTGGGCATTGCAAGAGCAAGATAGAGGTTCGTTCAAATTAGAATTAATTGCACCATCTAATCTAGCACTAGAAAGAGAAGCATGTTCGTCACATAAAGAAGCAATGACAGTGCAAGTGACATCATCAACTAAACAACTACTATTAGAAGTGTTCAAGTGAAAATTTTCATTTTTAAACACTGATTCAACTATGATTTCCTCATCCACCTCATCATCACTCACATCATCAATAACTTCAACAAGAATAGTAGTTATAGCATAAGGGTCAATCTCCTCAAGAAGAGGATCAATATTACCTGATGTAGGGCACAAGTCCTTATGAGTTTGTAGATGCTCTTGCTTCATCTCAGCTTCTTGTATTCCCAAATTCAATTTGAGCTATATCACTCAAGATCTTCTCCAATGCACTCTTACATTCTCCTAACTCTTCCTCTGATTCCTTTGAGATTCCAGATATCCGTGCTTCTTCAAGTAATCCATGGTAGTATAAATTTAAGTAGTCATAAGCTTCTCTTAAAAATCGTATCTGGTCCTTCTTAGGAATAGTGAGAAATGGATCAGGTTCATTGAATTGATGTTCATGACATTGGGGAATAGAATGGTACATGGATTGGGACGAGGGTTGGTGGTAGTATTCATATGGAAAAGGAGGTGGTTCTTGGTGGTATGTATATGGTAGAGATATATGATTAAAGTATGGTTGGTGAGATTGGAGTGATGGGTTAGGTGATTGATGTGGAGGATAGTTCATCCAAGAAGGGTCATGGGTAGAGAGGTGATTAGGCATTTGAGACTCTAACTGAGTTTGGAAGAAGTCCAACTGTTGTAACAACTCTTCAATCTCTTGAGAACATGTTGAATTAGAAGGTGCTTCATTCCACGTACTATTTCCTGCACAAAAGTGAGAATGTGAGGGTAGATCATGATTGCTATTAAACCAAGCCATGAGTCACACAATCAATTCCCAACAAAAACCAACCTAAAGAAATTCAAAACAATCCTAAAAAAAACCTAAAACAATCAGAAAACTAACACAAAAACACAAAAGCAGAAAAATCTGGAAGAATTCCAGAAAATAAAAAAAATTAGAAAAAGTGGGGGAAAAAACTTGAATTTGGCCAAAATTTGCTGGGGTTGCTTAGAATGCCCAAACCTTTGGAATACCAATTGTTAGAATTTTCTAGGCAAAAATTTTTTAGTTCCAACAAACTGATTTTTTTTTTTTTTGAAAACTTAGATTTTTGCCAAATTTTGTATGTAAATCCAACATTATGATGCAATAACATGCACGTGTCTATATCTATATGCAAAACAAAAAAAATCAAGATATTTGGTTGTATTTTTGAAAAAATTTTGATTCAAATGAAAGAAATGGTATGAAAAATAAGAAACAAATGTAAACTACTTAAGAATGTAAAAACTAACAAAATTGAAAACTACAAGGCTCAACAAATCACCCAACCAAGGTTATTTGACACTTAATTACTAGGGAACCAATTTCTTGGTTTTCCGGCAACGGCGCCACTTGAAATAATGCCCTTAATTTATCGCTTTGGGATTACTCTAAAAATTAACCGAATTAATGTAATATAGTGCACAATCCGAGTCGTATTCATTTTGAGGAGTCAAAAATGAAATTAAATCCTAGTAAATAAATACAAGTAACCTAAACTATAAAAATATTTTTTGATTTGATAATTGCTAATTAAACACATGAATTAAATTGAAATTAAAATAATTTTTTATTTTTATATAAATATAATTAAAATGAATGAAGATTAAAGAAATGAAAATGAAACGCACAAATAACAATAATAATAATCAATCCTCCAATTCAACAACGCAGGTAATCCTCACTCCAAAAGATACGGGAGTTAAACCAATAAATTAAGAATTATAATTAAGTTTTTAATCTAACAACCAAGCCGCCTCGAATTGCTACAAAATATTTTCCCAAAATCCCAACTTGCTAACTACAGCCAGAATAGTAAAATGGAATTAAGGATGCTAAAATCCAATGCTTAATTAAAACTCTTAAATCTAAAATAACAGAATCAAAGCTAGTAAAAGACAATATGATCCACGATTCCAAGTTATCTTAGAAAATCACAATATATTAACTCCAAAATCAATGCAAATGTCATAACCACAACATTATAATTGAAACTAAAGCTATAAACAACCCAATGTTAAATGCTAAACAGTAATCCAACTACAATAATCTCCAAATATAATCAGATTAAACAATACAAATTTTTCAATAATTAGAATAACTATCCTAAGACCTAGGAATTGTTAAACAACTATTGGATAGGAAATTAAACTAACTAAAACTCCCTTTTGATGATCCGAGTTCCTACCATTGTTGTTGAATTAGAGAATTATGAAGCTCTACCCACGCATAATTTCATAATCTACTTCAATTAGCTCCCTCATACCGTCAGCCATGGCAGTGAAGAAGACAGTGGTGATGATGATCCTGTGGAAAGGAAGAATTCCCGTCGAGCTCCCCTTTCCTCTTCACGCCGTCGGCCTCTGCTTCTCTCCCCCTGATTCTGCGTAACCGTTCGTGCCTCTGGTTCGCTGGAGATCATGATGAATAGTGCCGCCACACATGTAGCCACCAAGCGCCCCCCGTCCTCGGCTCTGTTCACACTATATTCTCCCAAGATGATGAAGTGTGCTGCATTAGTGTATTAGGTTGGGGGGCAAAACGTTGTGTTTTACTCCCTCTTTTTATTATTATTATATATTTTTATTTTATTTTATTTATTTATTTCTTTTTTTCTTTTTATTTTTAAGCCTTCCAAAAATTTGCAATCAAAATTCAAAAATAAGGTAGCATTAATTGTCCTTAAAAATCAATTAATTTCAATTATAACAATTTTGCCCCTATTATGCACTAATTCAAGTTGAAGCACTTTAATGTGAATTATACTCAAATGATGCAATTAGAGACCAATAATAATGATAAAAACCCACCAAAAATATATAAAAATGCATGTAAAAACATAGGTTTGTCACCATATTTTAAATGGGTAGGTTTATTGTCTTTACATTTAATGAAGTTTACATACTTTTAATTAATATTAAGGTACGTAAAAAATGGAACCTTTGGCTCTTTTTTGGCAAAGTTTAAAAATGTAACAAACCTTCACTACAAAAAAACAGACTTTCAGCGGCGACAAAGTGTCGCCGCTGAAAGTTTGCCATTGAAACCAAGACGTTCAGCGGCGACAAAAGTGTCGCCGTTGAAAGTGGACCTTCAGCGGCGACTTTTTAGTTGCCGCTGAAAGTTTGCCATTGAAACCAAGACTTTCAGCGGCGACAAAAGTGTCGCCGCCGAAAGTGGACTTTCAGCGGTGACTTTTCTAGTCGCTGCTGAAAGTGGACCTTCAGCGGCGACTTTTCTAGTCGCCGCTGAAAGTTTGCCATTGAAACCAAGACTTTCAGCGGCGACTTTTCTAGTCACCGCTGAAAGTTTCGCCATTGAAACCAAGACTTTCAGCGGCGACAAAAGTGTCGCCGCTGAAAGTTTGCCATTGAAACCAAGACTTTCAGCGGCGACAAAAGTGTCGCCGCCGAAAGTGGACTTTCAGTGGTGACTTTTTTTGTTGTCGCTGAAAGTATAATATAATAATATATATTTTATTTTACAATATTAATAAACAAATTCAATCTGGCTCAGTGGCAAGAAGGTTGGACACGAAAGGAGGCGGTCACGAGTTCGAACCTGGAAGAAGACACATTTAAGGTGAAAATATTTAGACGATGAAAATATTTAAGGTGACTTTTTTTGTTGCGCTGAAAGTATAATATAATAATATATATTTTATTTTACAATATTAATAAACAAATTCAATCTGGCTCAGCGGCAAGAAGGTTGGACACGAAAGGAGGCGGTCACGAGTTCGAACCTGGAAGAAGACACATTTAAGGTGAAATATTTAGACGATGACGTGGCGAGGAGGAGTGACGTGGCAATGACGTGGAGGTGGCTAGTGATGATGTGGCGGTCAGCGGTGATGACGTGGCTGCCGATGGCAATGACGTGGAGGTCGACGGTGATGATGTGGCGGCCGGAGACGATGACGTGGCACCGGCGGTGATGACGTGGCATTGGTAAAGCCAATTCTTTTTAGGCATTACTTTCAGCGGCGACAAAAAAGTCGCCGCTGAAAGTGTTTTCGGCGGCGACATTTGTCGCCGCTGAAACTTCTAAAAGTCGCCACTGAAAGTATCTTTTAATGGCGACCTTTTTAGTCGCCACTGAAAGTTTTCAGCCACGGCTGCTACGGTAACGACTTTTTAGCGGCGACTTTTGTACTTTCAGCGGTGACAAGAAAGTCAATTTTTTTGTAGTGCTTTCTTAATATGCTTCAGTTAGTTGAAAATATTTTAGTCATTCTTCTGAAATAAACATATTGCTAAATGTTCATTCACAATTATTAAAGATTCTCAAGCGCTGGGAACATAAACAAAATGAATATAGGCACTAAAAATAGATTAAAAAAGTCCCCCTGAAACAGGTGTTGAAATAAGAGATAAAAAGAACTGGACATTAAACTATCTTCTTCAGTGATAATTTTATTATCCCGTGCAGCAACACGCAGGAACACACACACATATAAACATAACACATACACTACATAAGTTGGCAGCAAAACAAAAACCACTAAAATAACAAAATAACAATGCTCTTAATCCTGAAAACAACTCATGCAGGATACCACCATTTGTCTATTGCCGACAACAAGAGGCATTAATTGGCAGATACAGAGCAGCAGCAGCGACTTGTTCACTTCCTGTTATTCTTCTTACGACATTTGTTGGCAATCTTATCGGCAATCCAGATGAGAAAGCGCATTGTGTTAACAACACAAGTGGAAGAACAAACCCACAAGTCCAGAGAAGAAATGCCCAAACGGCCACGGGCCGTAAATAACCACCAGAGTAGACCAACATGTAGACGGCAATGTTGTATGCAACTGCAAGACTGAGGACAGAGAGAGACATGCTTATAGCTAGAATCCATATGGCGGCACTATTCCGCAAAGGAACTCCACTTACAAGCAGGAGGGTGACAGAAAGCGATGCATAGAAAGAGATAGTAATACAAGCCGCATACGACAGAAACTCTCCTTGTCGACGAAAGGATGAGACTGCTTGTCCGGGACAAAGCTCTTTATTATCATCGGTTGGCACGCAGTTGAGGGCCCCAGATGGTGAGGGGGCATCTTCTTGCTTTGCCAAGTCTTGTTGAATAAAGCTTCCTGGTGGATTAATTAAGGCTTGAAAGGTTACAGATGCCATAAAAATAGATGCCGCACTCAGATTCCCCCTCACTTCTTCTATCCAACTAGTATCAACCCCACGCTTCAACTGCCTTCCCATCCATTTTAAAATCATCCTACTCTTCGACATCGATGTTTCAGATTCTTCCGTGTCGGACTTTGTCAACATGAGTTTTATTTCTTTGATTTTCCAGTCTTTCGGACTACGTTCCAGGATATCCAGAGGCGTAAGGCCATCTTTGTTCTTCGTCTTTCCTAGTTCCCTTATTTCTGGAATTGACAGCAGATACCTTACAGCCTAAATACAAACACGTTAGTAAGGTAATGCGATCGATCAACTGCGATTTGTGAATGCCATGTAACTTTTTCTATGTTGTGTTCATAAATAATCACTTTCTTGTCAATATTAGAACTAGCCAAATGTTAAATGTTAGCATACAGTAACTCAAACTCCTAAAAGAGCAAGACAATAAAAACAATATTAGTGTTTCTTCATAACAGGATAAAGGGAAATAACAGCACACAAGAGGTCTTTGAACAAAAATTTATACATACATATTTTTGTTCTTGCTAAAAATTTGATAACACTTTTAAAGGTAAAACACTACTAAGACTCGCCGTTAAATAAAGTGTATCAAAGCCATTAGCATTAGATACTACTGGCGAGTTCATCAAATGGTAATAGTGATGAAGTGGCTTGTGAACAGGGATTTCATAAGTTTCAAGTCATCCTAATATAATAAAAATAAATAGCTAGTACATGCAAGCTTTCTTTCTTTTTTTTTGAAAAAAAAATTAAAAGAAAAGAATAGAAGAATAAAGTATTATGTACCTCATCTCGCTCATACATGATGGCCAAATGGAGAATGGTGTTCTCAGCGCGATCAACGAGCGCAAAGGAAGGAGCACGAGGTGCGCCTGCAGTAACATCGGTAGTGGCATAGTGCAATTTTACCAATGCTTGCAGAGTCTTGAAATGGTTGTATATGACACACAAGTGAAAAACACTGTTCCCTTGTTGGTCAAGACAACCTAGAGAATCTGGCCGCGCTATGACCAATGCTTCCACAACCTGTGGCCTCCCCCTCATAGCTGCATAGTGCAGAGGAAGTCTTCCTTCTCTGTTAGCAACCAAGCATGGCTCACCATTAAATTCTAGCAGTGTTTGCACGGCCTCCAGGTTATCCTCTGCAGAAGCCAAGTGGAGGGCTGTTCTTCCAGCAGAATCCTGTCTAGTGGCAAGGTCACGATTGCGATTGAGAAGAGCCTCAGTGAATGAAGCATGATTTAGCACTGCAGATATGTGTAAGGGAGTTTCACGGCCGTCATCTGGAATGTTGTCAAGGATTAATGCGTTTTGCTGTAACAAATGCTCCAAAGCCCGTACATCCCCACGGCGTGCTGCCTCATAGAGAGCACTCTGTTCATTCGTTTGCTTGTTACTTACGCTGATGACGTGTTCCATTTCTCGTGTTAGATAGCCCACTAGCTAGCTATATGGTACCCTTTATATAGAGATGGCTTATTATAACTTGTCTTAATCATACTCTTCATGTCCTAAATATAAGATCCATTTTATAGTATAATTTACACTACAAAGCCAGCGTTATATTTAGGACCGAAGGAGTACTACAATGTGGAATATTTTCTTACTATGCTTTAAATAGAATTGCCTTTAATATAAGAACACGTGAGCAATAAAAAAAGTTAAAAGTACCAGTGGAGTATATTAATAGTCCTGAGTTCGGGACCTCCAAATAGTCTTGGTTAAATAGTGTTTATTACATAAGCAGTATTGGTTTACAGTCACAGAGTCATGCATATGGTCAAAATAAAAGTTGCTGGAGTGGATTCCCTTGTTTGAGAAAAAGAATGTTAATTCTAATGATTCAAAATTCTAATGTTAAATTAAATAACAAGGTCTCAATTCCAATAAAATAACCTACAAAAACTAAAATTAAAGAAAATTCTAATGAGTTCTGTGTTAGTTTTTTTAAAATCTAAAACAAAAAACGACACAGGGATCATTGTCGATGAGTTTGTGCTAATTCGGATGATTATGAAATAACATCCAATTTCACATCGGAAAACGGGTCCCAGCAAAGATTTGGTTGTAGAAAGTTGAAAGATTTGGTCGCAAGAAAAGTTGGAATTGAATTGATAATCCTCAAATAATGGATTACCAAGTGAAAGGTCGAGATAATTAATGCTCATGAGGATGAACTCCAACGAAAATTTGCGCTCCTACAGTCTCTATTGTATTCCCGTGACCTTGCTTTTTTTATTAGAAATATAGTTTTGATAATGAAATAAATTGGCGTACATCATGGCTATGTGTTTCTCTTATTAGAAATATTCCACTAAATATAAGCACATCTCTTAATAAAGATTCAAATATTGATTTGTCATGCTATGAGAGGAATTTTACATGAAATAGTGACCAAATGATTCCTTGTGCTTGACTGCTTTCGAATTGGAAGCACAGCCTTTACTTAGCTTCTGCAGAAGGCCATACCACCATCGTAAAGAGTTATTGCTAATTTAATTAACATTATTCTTGATCTGTGGCAACCATGTTGAAGCAAGTTAACATAATTTTTCTAATTGTATAAATTATCGCATAAATTATTAACATCTATATATATATGCCGAAAATTTATAATGATAGTTTACGTTTTATAAATAGCACTTACCCACGCGCTTCTAAAGCTAAATAACATTCATTTTCATTATCCTACAGATAGCAACTGGCAAAGCTAAATAACATTCATTTTCATTATTCTACAGATAGCAATTAGCAAGATTATTCTTTTGGCGATGGCAAAAACAAAGGTTATTCTTTTGACGCGTTTGTGGAATATTTTTTATACTTTACTGCTTTACTTCTATAAATTCACAGTATTGTGGGTTTGTCTGCAATAACCCGCCCCGCCAAGTAATTATGGTAAAGAGATTAAGCAGGACAGCAACAAATTGAGACAACCATATAAGTATGCTAAACTTTTCATTCTTTTAAAAGTAAATTCTCAGTATTAGTACACGATTAGCCTCTTTATTATATGAAAGTAATTAACATTCTTTTTCTCAAACCAGGAATCCACTTCAGCAATTTATTGTGGCCATAATTTTCATAATGCATGATTCTGCGAGCGCAAAACATACCAATAGAACAACAACACATACACTTTATCGAAGAGTATTGGGAGGTCGTAATTCGAGACTATTTAATATCTCCACTGCTAGTTTTAAATCTTAACCTAATTTCCATACAGCAGTTTAAAAATTTTCAAGAAAAAGATATGTTAGGGACTTATCTCAAAGTTTGGATTCAATAATACATGAATTTGTATAATGAAACGTTTGGATCTCTTTTTGTCTGTGATTTTTCACTTAGACTTTCCTGATGAATTAATCCTCAAATTATATAATGAGCATGATTTCTCAATTAAACGATGAGTTTAAAGTTTTTTATTATAATTTTTTCAGATGCACGATCTGGTTACGTACTATACTAACTTCCTGTCCTTTATCATTTTGTGATTGAACCCAAAATAAGTTAGAATATGGCCCCAGCACTTTTCTTCATTTCTGGTTTTCTTTCCTTTCTTTTTTTTTTTTTTTGGTGATTTACTAGCATATCACCTTAGTTGCCACGTATCCCATGTTTTATTTTAATTATTTTTTAACTTATTAAACAGTACCAATGACTTTGTGATTTAGTAGCATAAACTTCTCCCGTAAATAAGAGGTCGTGAATTAGATTTGTAATCTTAAATTATTAGTGGTCCGTCTTTCTAATTAAAAAATTAATTTAATTGACGAGTTAATGATATAGTAATTTATTTATATTATTATTGTGGAGTAATGCTGTGGAGTCCCAATCATACGGGGTTTAGCAACCTTTTCAACCATGTGATTGTGCCGGGCAATAATTGTATTCCGTTGCAATTTTTTCATGTTAAATTGTCATTGGTAAATTTGCTCAAAAAAAAAAATGTCACTGGTAAGAGAAGAACAGGGAAAAATAGAAATTACAAATAAAGGAGAGTGAGGAAAATAAAATGAGTCAAAGAAGAAGAAGCAAAGATGCACTTCCCTCCAATTACACATTGATAATAAGCGTCAGTGTGTCAACTAGTGTCATTTATTTTCAATATAATTGAGGTGATGATGTCATCGCGCGTGTGAGTCATGTAGAGGATGTAATACTAATGAGCTAGTATGCTGTTGTTTATTTAGACTTTTCAGACCAACACTTAATTTGAAACGACTTGGGAGCATTTGAAATGGTTTATAAGTAATTTTTTAATAATAATTTACAAAATATGAAGTAAATTGTAAAAAAGTTTTATCTTAATTTATATAAATGAACTTATAAATACTTATATAAATGATAACAAAGATAATCTGAACTTTCATTAAACATTAACTAGCTATATCCAACAACCATATTCCTTCCACTAACAAACAGAGAAGACGACAAAGAAACTTGTTTTGTATTTTTGTGGGGTAACAGGTCATAAAAAGAAGGGTGATTGATATTATGACAGGCATAACATTGAAATCCGGATGGAGTTGGACCCAAAACCGGTCACTTGGCCGGTTTGGTCAGCCCCAATGAATCGGGAAAATATGACCCGAGGGTGACCCCCGGATCAACCGGGGAGCAGCCCAATTAATCCGACCAATTTAGTGAGTTAGCCTAGTGGCCTCTCTCTGTTTTTTTTTTAAAAGGAAAACTATTTTGATGAAAACTGTTTTTTTTTTCAGTTGTTAATAATTTTAGTTAGTGATTAAATGATTATAGGGAGAAATATTTTGTTATCATATATCTATTTTGATATTTTGCTGGGATGAATATTTAGAGATTTTAGTAATATAATATTATGACTTCAATTTGTCAAAGGAATCACAAAAAAAGTTGGAAAAATTATGAGTATATCATTATTTTATTAGTAACTCAAGGGATTAAATTGATATTTAGTCTTTAGATGGTATGATAAAAATTTAAATAATTTTTTAATTTTTAATTTTTTTATTTTCACTGGTTTGATTCTTGAATTGACTCAGATCTGACCTATTGACGTTTGTTTAGTGACCAGTCCAGTTTTTATTACCTTAATGATAGAACCAACCTAACTTTATACTTTCCATTACCTTATCCGATGAGGCCCCCACGTTGCCATGGACATCACCTTCCAATATGTTGGTACATAGGAATAATATTCTTTATAGAGGAATGGAAAACTAATTTTTAGATCATTAGCCCAAAAAAAAAGAAGAAAACCACAAAAAAATCTTAAAAATAGAAAAATTACAAATAAAGACCCCGTTACCATCTTAGTATTGGTTTTGATAACAACTGATAAGCGAATGACAACAATTTTTATGAACGGTCCCTATATACAATTTTTTTTAATTTTCAGGATTCTTTTTTTCCCCCCAAAAAACCCCATTGTTCTAAAGGAAGAATAGATAGTAGTCAGTTTTATTTGGCAAAAAAAAAAAAAGTAGCTTGCTATAAGTGTATGAGAAGACGCAAATTGGTTTTGTTAAGTTATCTTATTTATCCATTTGCATTAGAAATTACTCTTCCAATATTATTTATGTCACTTTTAACATGTTTTATAAAAAGAAAAAAATATTACCTTATTAATCTTGTTCTAAAATTTATAATTTCTTAATTTCACTCTTATTTAATATATACACTTTCTAAAAAAATAATAATCTATACAATAATAAATGAATGACAATATTGTGTATTAATATAAAAAATTTAATAGCGTGATTTATAAATAGAATTATTAGAGTATTCTATTGATGAAAACATTTACTAGACATGCGCAAACAATAGAAATAATTTAAGAGAAAATTATAATTCTGAAATGTAAAAGATTATTAGAATTTTATATTTAAGATTAAAGTAAATTTTTCAACTAAAAGCATATCCAACATTTCAAACGAGTCAATATAGTAAGGGCTGGGGCCTCTGTCTCCAAAAGAATTCGTGCCAAATAGGTTGTCGTAGGAAACTTGTAGAATAACAGGACTTAGAGAAGATGTCATGTCATATCATATCAAGGGCTCCATTACATAAAATAAAATGATATTAACATAGATATTCATTTTAATGATATTAATTATCAATTATTTATTCATTAAATTTCAGTTAACATAAATAAAATTCTGAAGTGAATGAAGATGCCTTTCTAAATCTTGTTGTTGTTGTTATTCTCTGAGTTTTACGCCAACTTGTTTCCTTATCAAAATTCTATATTTATAACACACAAAAATGTCGTGGGAATACAATAGAGACCTATACAGGCCCTAGAAAACTTAGTAAAAGAGACCTATATTGTGTAGATTTTCGTTTGGAGTTCATCCTTATGAGCATTAATTATCTCGAGTTTTCACTTATTCATTCTTTGTGATCTAGAGATTATTCCCCCTTTCTAATTATAGTTA